CTCTAAAATAATGTTTTACTTTATGATAAAATTTTGTTATTTAAAACCTTGCAAGAAAGTAATTAATTCCAAAGAGTTTATCAATTTTAAGGAACTATAAGGCAATCGCAAAGAAATGGTTCAGACATTTGTTGAGAGAAAATGCAAAAATACCATACAATATAGGATATGTTCTTTATAAAATTATAAAAAATCAAATCTATTCTATGCATTTTTTTAATAATATTCAAAGTATATTTTTTCTTATGACATTAAGTACAAGTTTATTTATGAGTGGAATGGAAATAAAACAAATATAAATAATTCTAGATCACAGTAACCTAGAAAAGAATAAATATCATTTTAAGTTTATATAATTCTCTTTAAATTATCTCCAAAACATTAATTTTGGCAATGTCTTTCAATGTGTGTACTATTTATTATTTGTTTCTTAATATTCAGGTACATACTGATTACTTACCTGTTAATTAAGAAAAGACTTTCATCTCAACATTAACGATTAGATCATAAATCTTACGTAATTAAGATTGAGCAAGTGTATTTAACTTGAAACCTAATAAACTTCTTACCGCAAAGTTAAATAATGCGTGCAAAACCTAAGTAAAGTTATTTCGATAAATGTGTGTTATATGTGTGCACGCTTAGAATTTCCGGATAATATTTTAGAAATATAGTTACGTAATTTAATAGAACTCTAATATTGAATCAGAACATAAGTTTATAATTCTTTACTAAGAAGTCTTTCATTTTTACAAATGCTATGTTATACTCGTATATTCTTTTACATGAATGAGACAGAAAATATTCATTATTATTTTATGACTCATTATTTTATAAAACCGAAAAAATATTTTTTATCTGTAACAATCTGACATTTAATTGTATCTGTAATGGTAATGCGATTGTACGACGAATTTCATAAAATTTTCTAGTAGGCGAGACTGGGTACGGTGGTGCCAATTTTTTTGATCAGCATTAATTTTGTTGTTACCTAGTTAATGTACGAGTTAGCTGAGGGAAAGTGTATTAAAGGGTAATTACACATTTGTTTACATGTAAAGACTAAAATTATATCATTCAATAAGATGCATTAGTCATAAAATCAAATCTACAATAAAAGGGCGAGTGTCACAAATGTCCACATCCCCAGGACGGTTCTGATATACATAAACATAGGTTAAAAACAATGAATTTTTGTGAAAGCTTTTTTGGTTGTATTTAATTTTTCTTCTCCCTTTTCTTTCGTATTTTGTTTTATTTAAGTTGGTTTTTTCTTCATCTGTTTAATCTTCATCTGAAAAGGACAAGACTCACAACCACATGTCACAACCATACTTTTGAAAACACGTACTCAACACACACTTTTGAAAACAAATCATGGTTATGACTGAGGTGAATTATCTACGCAAAAATTAGATTAATTGCTGGTAATTAACTACTGACGTTCACTTACAGCGAAATAGCAAATGAAGTTATCTATCTGTATGCAAGAAACAGTTATTATTAAAAGAAATCTAACAAAGAAACTTTTTTTACTTTGGAAAAGCAATGCGGTCTATAGATCATTATCATAGTCTGAATGCATTAATAGGAACATGTTCAAATAAACATACATCTACATCTTTCTCCCTTTGGACCCTATGTCAAAATCAGTATAGTTTAGCCATAACGGCTGTCACTGGCACCGTATCCTGGCACAACCGTACCCAGTCTCCCCATCTATCCGTTTTTTTTATTCTGTCTGATACATCATATTAAAAAAAATACAAAATCTTGACCAAGTACTTCCGCGACTGGTATTTTATTAAGTATAATTAATAAATGTTGTCTTTACCATTTTTATGACTATTATAATATAAGTTGATGTATCTAACTCGTGCCTAATGGATTTTTAGCGATTCCCTCTTCTTATATAAGTTTATATTTTTTAATTGTATGTATTTATCACTACAAATCTGTACTTCAAAAAAAATATTTCATGGATTTATCGAGTTTATCAATTGTTAGATGCAAATCCGTGGATATACTGTATTTATTTAACTCATCAATATAATATATCGTTGAAAAAATACAAATAATATGAATGGTTTTCTTGTTTTTAGTAATGCCAACGTTACATGTATACCATTTCACGAATATCTAGATTGATCAGTATTTTTTGTCTTTTGTCAAATATTATTTCGTATGTTATTGATTCTAACTGTGCCCTGTTTTCGGTCCGACTTCGACCAAAAGTCTGATTTTCCACTTCAACGTATCGCTAAGAAATTTTCATTACTTAGGCTCATATATATGCAAGCGTTTGCAAATAAAAGTGTATAAGCTGCTTGATGGAATAAAACAGCAAAAATATACGCAAAGAGTTGCCAAAGTTGGCGCTGCGGGCTTGTGGCGAAACTCAATTATTGACGCCGCGAACTTTACTTCCAGCAAGAAGCACACACGTTGCGAACTCTTGCGACGGCGGTAGAACTTGATACTTAGTACACTCTTCGGAATTAATTTGGCTTAAGCATTCGTTTTAATATATATTATATAGAACTTCGAACCGAATCTATATCGAATAAGATTTATTACGTACGGAGGAACGCATGGGAATCTCTTTTTCGGAAACTCTTACAAACTTCTAGAATGTATTGTATATTTTTATTGATTTCACTTCAAGTCAATATACGTGCCTGTGATTTGATTATGAATAAAATAGATGTAAGGTTTTAGTAGTTAAGATATCTTCTATTTTATTACGTGTTTATTAATAACTTTTTTTTGTTTAACGCGGGGCTTTGGTAAAAGGAGCTATTGTAACACGTAATAAGTCAAGTTAGGAAAATAGGGACAACAAATAGGCTGTATTAATTCTATTAACTGAATTTATTTTAATGAAAATAAAATCAAACTTTGGCTTCATACAAAAATCAAAATAATATGAACGAATGTAGAAACAAATTTTGATTCAATCAGATCATTCGGACTATTTATTTAGGGGGAAGTCCCGTAACGCCGGACAGTACCTAATACCGGACACTCTATTTAACACGTATTATTTAAGCGAGTATAAATCTTTCTATATCAAAATACAAGTGAAAGGGGCGTGAGGGGCACACAGGTGCAGGATCACCCGCCAAGACTCACCTGTGACACACGCGGCCACGGCGGAAGCAACCCTTTGCTGTTTTAGGCGCAAAATCACGGCGTCACCTAAATATCAATTGAAGTAATTCTACTGTATTTATGCATTTATATTTGAGTGGCATTCAATGATAAAAGTAGTACTTGATCGTTATCCGTGAAATGGTAGAATATTATAAGATATTTTAAACAATTTCAGTAGGCACCACCAAATGAACGAACATGCTTGTCCCTTAGCACCGGACACTAAGTCGTCCCTTAGCGTCGGACAGTAAACATATTGATATTTCTTGTGAGAATTGACGTAATTCATTTTAATTATTTAATTTTGTTCCGTATGGGTGCTAAGGGTCACTACACATACCCCATATTTTTCGTATTTTCTAGTCAAAGAATGAAAATCTTATGATGAATGCTTCAGCTGAGAGCATCGGTGTGGCTGAGTCAAAAGGGTGGATAAATAGTGATTTTTTATTCGTCAAACACACATGTGCAGAAACTCCAGTGTGCGGAGATGGCTTCCTATGTGTTCAATACTAGTTATTTTGAAATGTCCGGTACTAGTTGCCACTTTGTAAAATCATATTTCTTGTTACCAAAGTTTGATTGATAGTATTATTTATTTTTTAGCAAAGGTTGCGTTTTTGTTAATTCAGTTTGATTTCTAAGTTCATTATCTAACATAAGTCATAATTTAATAAACATTTTATAAAATATTTTTTGATTTATTTATAAATAACCTCGGGGACTTTCCCCTATGCTTAATTATAAGATTATTGGTTATAATATTCTTTGTTTTCAATTCTTTTTTTCGTCCAAAGGGCAATTGTTGTAGTTCGCGTTTTAATACATTTTTTTAGAAGTTGATGATCAATGGATGAAGCATCTATAACACACCGTCTTCCTTTTGACCTCCTTTCAAAAATTTATAGATTATTTTCAACGAATCGGTCCACAATTTTAGATATAGTGGTCAAAGACCTATTTACAAATACTATGAAAAGCTCTTTTAGCTCTTCTTTGAAATCATTACTATAGGTGAAGATACGTTTCCATTTGACTTTTTAGGAGCAAAATTTTATACGGATTCAGATTTATTGCCCCCGGAAATAGTTTTTATTTTCAATTAATTTTAATTATGTTGAAATATTGTTAAAACTGTGCAAATCAAAATACGCGACTTGAAATAGGTTTCTGTACCTATTTCAAAGCAATATTAATTACTTAATTTAATTATGAAGAAAATGCACAAAATTTTATGTAAAGCTTGAAACCGAAAAATAGGCACTGAAGAAGATCCATACTTCAAAAAAATATAATACAAAAAGTTTAGTTTTCATTGTCAGTAATTCAGATTTAAAAAAGCAACCAATTTAAGTCTTTAACCAGTTAACCAGTAGAACTGTGCGCACAGTTTTAGACCGACTGAATCGAGGTAGCATTTTGTTTTGAGGTAAATTACCACTTACAACCAAATATTCTAAGTATCTTGAATTTTGAAAATGTTTTGTTTTTAAAAATAAAATGCAATTTTATTAACCTTAGGCTGTTTGCAACAGCAAATAGTCATTGTTTTATACGCATGTCGAATATACTCGTCAATCCACAAGATTCTGCCACTTTTTTATGAATATTTTCAATTACACTTAACCGATTCAATAGTATTTTATATAAACAATTATTGAAAAAAAAATATTTCTATCACTTAAATTAAACCCCTCTCTTCTCCATTTTATAATATACGTATATAGTATATTAATTTTATATAAATGTTTTTTTTATTTATTTTTTTGTGAATTGATTAAAATTTTATGATATCATATTTGGGATAAAACTGTTATTAAAATTGTATTTTGTTGATTTTATTTTAGACGTATATGGCACCCTGGCTGTCTATATTTGGGGATTTCACCAAAGACGCATCTGCTATGTACAATAACTTCAGGTAATTATAATATACATATATAGAATATAATATGTTTTATTGAATCAATGCAGAACAAAGTATTAATTTTACAATTATTTTTCTATTATTATATTATATTGAAATCAAGTTTCTATTAATATTTACTTTTTTATACATTTTGGATCAGTCGATTTATCCTCATTTAAAAAATACATTTTGATATTTGTGCTGAATGTCTAAAATACTTGTGTTCATAACAACGCATAGTATATAGTAAAAAATAAATATAATATTGTAAAATACATTTTTTATAATTTGTTATCTTTTTATTTCACTACAAGTATTACAATGTGTACGAAAAATATGTATAATCTTGATTTCGAATTTTATTAGATATGTAATGATTTTATTGTTTTTATTGTTCGTTATATGAAATCACCATTATATATTTATAATGATGTCTCTTATAACTGGCTTATGTAATATCGTTGATATTATCTATATTATTTTGTAATGTAATTTGTTTAGTATTTTCATTTGTTTTTGAGTTCCAAAATAGTCTAATTTGATTCTTTTGTCTCCAAGTGAATATATTTTTTGTAAAAGTAACACAATGTTTATCAGTGCATCATTAATAATGCAAAATATCATACTTCAATTTTAAGATGATTTGCAAGCTTTTGCAAAATAATTATTTAATTAAATCATTCCATTACGTCGCTCTGTATAAACTGCTAGTTCTGCAACAAAGTTTTGAACTAACAGTAAGTGCAACGATTCTGTTGAAAATTAAGCAAACTACAATTGCACGATATGAAATCCAATCCTAAATATGAAATAATTATGTTTTCAGAGTGTACGGAACCATTCTGCTAATGTTGATGGGTACAATAGTTTACGTCGGCGTCAAGTTTGTGAACAAATTCGCGGCGGTCGCACTGGCCTGCGTCATATTTTCTATCATAGCCGTTTATGTCGGAATATTCACAAACTGGAATGGAAATGACAAACTACAGTGAGTATTTGAAATTTACATCTTTATATTTGGCATTCAGCATGTAAAAATTATACAGAGAAACTGTTGATTATTATCGTTGATTAGGGTATCTGATTTATAGATTGATAAAATAATATCACATAGGGTAGAGCGGTCCACAAAGGTCCAATTTCAGTTTGAACAATTATATTGTGGTAACCAAACTAATTGCATCACAACAAATACCACATATCGAACAGGCAACTATCAGACTACAATATTCAACCAATGCAAACTATAATTTCATGGACACATTATTTACAAAGATAACACTGTATATAACCTTGATCTGGTATTACGTCAAAAACTTCCCTCGGTATATTCAGAATAACTATTATTTTAAATTATTTCTTGTAAAATAGTTTTTTTAACCGAGATTATATTTTCATTGTTTGCGCTTTTGCCAGGGTGAATCAGTTGATCCTTTTTACCGCACCCATATGTAAGCTGTTGTAATTGTTATATGAAAACATCTGTTGAATCTAACTTAAAATTAATGTTACATCTTATAAAACAGTTAAATAACGTATACTTAAGGTCTTGTCAACTTAAGATCAGTACTAACATCGAAAGAAAATACATCTCTTATGGATTTTCAAATGTTGTCGTTTATCTCCCAATACTAACCTCGTAACAATGAAGGTGATGGCTGGTTATAGATCTTTTCCACTCTACTTTCATTTCTTGTTGTTAAAACACTCTTAACTTTATTTGTTTTGAGATATCGATGGTGGACCTTTTTATCCGCTGACCTTTAAGCTCCGCGCTATGCTCTAACGTTCTATATATCATAGAATAGATATATTACTATGGTAGTATAGATATATTAAATATGGTAAAAATATATTTATAATAATATATAGGGAAATTTTGATGACAATGAGAATTTTGCTTAAATATGTTTTTTTTTTCATTTTGCTGTAGTGATATTTTTCTTATGCCGATACACATTGCTAATTTTAAATATGTATTTGTACTTCGGGTTGCATTTTGATACATTTTTTGCATTAGAGCACCGTGTTAGATTTTTGGGCTAAGATTCAAACAACCTGATACCAAAAAACAGTGATTTCTGTTTTCACTAGACAATAGATCTAAACATAATTTAAAGTATAAATCGCCTTACGAGGCATTGCTGTATATCACAATTTGAAAGGTATGTAATAATATTCTAATTTCAAACAGAATTACGACTAGTTTGTCTTCTAATAATATTAGACTGTAAGGAAATCATCACAACAACTTATAGAACATTAAGAATATTTTTGAATGCTGTTTAAAATAATAATAAAAAATGAACTATTACGTGGTGTCCTTAGTAGGCCTATTTCACGGGTCTAATGTGAGTTTGTTTGTTTTGGAACTATTGCAAAATTCTTTTGATTCTCTTTCTTTTTCTTTCTACACCTTCGCCAGCTCCTTTACCTTTACCTTCACCTTGGGAGAGAAAGAGAAGAAGGAGGAGATCAAGAAGAAGAGAAAGTAGAAACATTTGAAAATTATGACTTTGACGAATAGATTCAACTGATTTTTTTATAATTACCGCCTTTAGTTTTACCAACTTAAATTCACTAATATTACAAAATCACAACAGACCTGTGAAAACAACGTAAAAAAATGAGCTAAGCACAGTACCTCGTAGGTGGCGTTTAAACGTACTTTTTAAAGTAATATCTGTTCTGACGTAAAAAAATATTTATATATTTTTTGCAGATAATTTTATTCTCTACAATTTTGTCTCGAGTAATTTTGCCATAAAACTGACCATTTAGCTAAAACTCGTTAAAAATTCGTTTTTTATCTTTGACATTGTGCCAATTTTTTATCCCGCACCGGATGGATGAGGACTTTTAAGATTTCTTTTATATTTGTATTTTAAGCAATTTAATATCGTAGATCTTTTTTGAATTGGATATTTATTATTTTCATTGAAATCTCTAAATATTATAACCTAGGAGTTGGTGAGGAAATAACATTGGCATTAATATTGTTCTAATCCAAAAGATATATTACATTTTTTAAATTGTGTCTATGTAACAATACCGAAATGGAGAAGCCCTGTAGGCAGAACCCGCACATCAATTTATGTTTACATCGTAAACGATAAGTTACCGAGTCACTCTGATAAAATACGCATAATTTACAATTTTGACATGCCATGATATTGAAGGATAATAAAAATATATTTACCTATTTTCACGGCATAAAAATGTTTTTTTTCGATCTCAATATATATAATAAAGCAATTTAATAATAAACTGTTATGCATTGTTGATACTCATAAATTCGTAATGATTAATTCCTAATATTTTTAATGAGCATGTTTTTACTTCTTAAACCTTTCTCCTTGTATTCCTCTCGTATATTTTTTTCTTGCTGTAGTAATCGCGAAAAAATCGATTATAATTTTTTTTATATATCTTTACATTTTAAATATTTCTGAAGATTTGGTTATGTTGTCTGTATGATTTGATATGTTGTCTTTAAAACAGCTCAGCTTGAAAAAAAAATGAAAAAATGAAAAAAAATCATAATATAAAAGAATCAATTTCTCCAAAAATTCAAATTTTATTCAAAACTCTCAAAAATCTAGCTTTTTTCAAAGTTTTTAAAAAAATATAAAGCTTTTAAAAATTTCAAAATACGGTACCGAAAATACCAGGCCTTTAGGCACGATACCATTATGCATCACTAGTATTTTTTACGATTTTGATTTTTCTAGTATATTTTCTTACTTATTTATCGCCAAAATGAAATAAAAGTATCGGAAAGCTGTTAATTTTAACGTTAATATAAATATATAAAAACGGTGTTAGAATTAAAAAAAAACATTTAACGCCTAAACCATTAGTCATTAATTTCTTTTCGTGTCCTTAAAAAATATTAAAAACGATAATATAAAAAATTAAATTGAACTTAAAGCTAAAAAGCGTAAATATTATTTTGTCGTTTATTGCCTAAAACCTTTTGACACCGTTTGAAACTAAATGGACTATTACAAATGACGAATATATTGTATATTCACATCTTTACTTTTACTGCAATTGTAATATTTTTATGTTAATGATTATTATATTATATTTTTGGAATTTTTTTATTAGAAGACAACCGAATGGTTGATCTTTTTTAATTGTGACTATATTTTTGCTTTTTGGGAAAATGGGTATCATCACTGCTTAATATCAGGTTGCACGAGATTTGAACTCAGAACTTTGTAGTCACAGGGCCGAAGCTTTACTATTTCCACGTCGTGTACCCTAACTTGTTATGAAAGTTGTTTTACATGTTATGAAAGTAATTTTATTTTGGATGTATTTATAGTTCGGCAAAATATATATAGTTAAAACTTGAATTTAAAGCATATTATAAACTTTATCTTTATAACTGCTCGATATATGCTTATAAAACTAGCACACGTACAAAAGTTAGTACATAAATAAAAATTCAGATTATAGAGAATATTTCAAAACTCGAAATTTTATATGAGAATTTATTGCGTACATTTTCAGTGTAAAGCTTTGAGGATTATCGTTCATTAATTTTATTGGAGTTTTGATGTATTTAATTGTAAATGTAAAATGCGCCTCCGTAATTAATTCGATAGGATAAATTGACTGCTCGAGTTCGTTATTTACATCAGTGTTTCGCGCGCTTATTTGAATAATTAACTCATGCAAAAATTCATTGTAATCAGGTCGAATTATAATTAAAATCTGATTTCGTGTTTTCGACCAAGATATTGTTTTTCGAAAATGCGAGGTGGATTATAATATAATATAAAATATGGTTTGAATGTATAATATATTCTATGTTGTATTAACATATATCAATATGAATCGAGCTTTATCAAAATGAATGGATTATACTAGTTTGTTCATTTTTTAAGTAAAATTTGACGTATAACATGATACTTGCTCGAAACGATAATAATTTATTTTTCTGTCAACTTATCAATCAGACTTTTGTAAGCAACTTTACTGTATAGTTTATGTACCTTTTTTACGAAGTGTTGTCTGATTTAAGCAAAACTTTTTCGAATTTTAATCTATCATTTTTATTTATTTTAAATGTATGTGAAATTTAAAATCAGTTTACATGAATTTTATTATTAAATTCAGTATATGGCTCTATGTCGGATATTATAATCGGTACTATATAGTTAGAGCTATTTTTTTCTTGTTTTTATAATAATTCTTGAAATATTATAATTCGATTCCTCCGGTAAGAGTGTTTACTATACTAACCATTTTCGAGAGTAAATTAAAAACTTGAAAGATATTAAAATTTTGCAGGTGGATAAAGATAAAATACGAGTTTGTTATTAACTTTATTTGTTATTATGATTATATAAAAATATTTTTATTTTGCATACTTTGTAATATGATATCAATATAAAAATAATCTACTTTACTTGTTTTTAAAAGCTATTGTAAAGAAGAGAAATAAATTTGATACTAGTATGCGATTTTTTAATTGCTTCTATCTTTGGTAAGCGATTATAAGGGTTTCCGAACAGAAATAATTTAAGCGAAAATATGGTTTCAAATTAGTTGAAACTCTAACTTATGTAATAAGTTACTCATGTGGGATTTTTATCAATATATTCAACCACCTGACATAAATAATTATAAATACTACTAAACGATGAAAAGGTTAACTGTCGGCTCAATTGTATTTTTATAACGAATGGATATAGCCTCATAAAAAGACTCCGAATTAAAAAGTAGCAAACCTTAAGATCATTGAATTTAGTTTATATAATTTTTGAATCAATCAGGATATTTCAAATTCTTTGCTCCGATTGTTTTTTTTAACAGTAATCACAATTAATGGTTCTGTAATTTGTTGGGACGATTCTGGTTATAAACGACGTCACTTTTTGGAAGGTGACCAAATTATTTGAAGTATTTTACATTAGAAGGCAACCCAATTGGTTTTAGAGATATTATATTTTAAACTTATTGCAGCAGTGCCAGAAAGGGCTATTTTCACATGTAAACATTCGTATTTCCATACGAAGTTTGATTGAATTGCGCACTATCTAAAAGTTAATAATAAGAGCTAAAACTTTCAGAAAATTGCTTTTTATCAATTTGGAACCATTTGAGCCCTTGGGAGCAAGGAAATTCGAAAATGTCCATATTAAGAACCGCCCTAATATACATAGTATATTTTCATAATAGTACAATTATATATTCAACTAAAAACGGGTATACTACTACTTGATATCACGTTATCCTAAACTGTGATTACATGGTCGATCGCTTACCGCGGCTCTACATCATTCCTGAAATAATTAATTATATACATATTTATAACGGATAATAATTTAGAATAAGAATGATTTACTGATAAAATAAATTATTATATTCCTATACAAACGTAACAACACAAAAAACAGCTTGCAAAATGCATGTCAAGCTTTTGTGCTATTCTTTGGTAATATTATTTTATGCATTAAAGAGATAAAATTTCACGTGTTATTATGATTGTTTATTTTGAATAATGAAATAGCTTCATAAATACTATATTTATAATTAATCAAAATATTTCAGAAATATATGCTCTGTTTGATATTGATATCGTTTTAATCGTACAATATCGGATAATCTGTTGTCACCATATACATAGGTCTGTTTATTATAGTTCATATACCTAATGCGATGTTCTGCTTTGTGTCTTTCCAGCATGTGCGTATTGGGAAATCGTCTTTTGAAGGACATCGATATATCTAATTGCTCCAAGGACCTCGGAGGACCTCTGCACGATATATTCTGCTCGGCTAATGGCACCTGCGACCCCTATTATCTGGCTCACAATGTTACCACTCAGAGAGGCATCAAAGGTAGATTATTGCTGACCAGTTATACACATTATCATTAATTCCGCAGACTTACATACTAAACACACACAAACACAAATATATATATATATATATATATATTGTATATTTGTAAATAAGCTAAGGTTATACCATTGTTGGGATGTAGCGTTAAGGGACTTGACTCTTACTATTTTATTGGCTATGATAAAACGGTAAACTATTGTTTCAAACTTTACTAGAGTTTACTCAAGTGCTTTTTTATTTAAAAAAAATATACTTAACCTTATGGAACACATACATAAATTTACTTTCACTGATAATTTATAATGATATGAATCTTTGCTACTTATACTCTACGTAATATATAATATATATAAGAGATTTTAATATTTTTTTGAAGAAAGAGATTGGTATTTTAAAAAATTCAAATATTGTATGTTTATGTAAAGAAACCCAAGATATCACATGTATACCATTCCTTCTATGTTTTATTTAAAGTGTATTTAAAGCACATACTATAATAATAGGTTGTCAAATATCTCCCTTCCGCCTTTTTGTATCATAAACCAAGAGCAAAAAAGCGGAAGGGAGATATTTGACAACCTAATAATAATTTATTATAAGATGCTTTTGTTAGGAATCTTTCAGAGAAATAGTTCGAAAATACTGAATTCAATCATTCGATATTTTGAATCTAATTTAACAAATAACGTAGGATGAGGCACAAAGGTCCAAATTGACTTTCAGTAATTATACTGTCTAAAATCGAATGAACAACTTTACAACACATATCACGTATCCAGCAAAGAACTATCGAACTATATTCAGTAAAATTTTCAGTTAATTCCTAATTATAGAAATATATTTTTTTTTATTATTTTTATGAAATTTGTCATATTGTTTTACCCTATAGGCAGGTCAGTATTTTATTTTTAATTTTAATAGGATTTTACCAATAATCTATATCATTCAACCAATGCAAATTACAAATTTTATGGGCACATTTTTTACAAAGATCACACTATATATAACTTTGATCTAGTATTTTCTCAGAAATATTCATCAGCAGAGTTGGAGATGTTGGATTAATTAGTTTTCATTTTTAATCTATTTTAGTTTTTAATTTTCTTATTGTTTACACCCTTGGTTTTTTACACCAACAGTTTAGTTAAACCTTTTTACTCTACACATATGTAAGTTTTTACAGAGGTTATATAAATAACGAATTAATATAACAAGTTAAAAATATCAATACGTATTATAAAACAATTTAATAAGGTATGCTTAAAAATTATATTCAGATATGGTAAACTAACTGAAACCCGCGGATCTTTAAGCCCCCTTTTTATCCTATCCCAAATAATTTTACATTCGCACCCTTTGTTATTGAGGAAATTACTTTGTTGTTATCATATTTATACTAGAATATTTTTATTGTAGCAACGCATATATACTTGCTGCTCTCTTCCTGGCACTATGATGTATAGGGTAAAGCGGGACACAAAAGTACAATTATACTTTGAGTAATTATATTGTGAAAAATTTATATTATATCACAACAAATAATACATATCAAACAAACAGCAATCTGAACATGTTCAGTAATTTTAGCTAATTCATCATTGTAAAAATATGCTTTTTCAAAAATTGTTGAGTTGGTCCTCATTACTCCACCTAGGTGTAAGCTTTTATAAAGGTTATATAAAAAAACTATTGAATCTAACTTACAATTAACAATACATCTTATAAAACAATTAAATAACATATACTTAAAAATTATATTAAGATCTCGTAAACTAAAGAACAGCGCAAATAACTAACAATGAAAGAAAATGTTTTTGTTATAGATTTACAAGCATTGCCGTTTATCTCCCGATTGTAACGTTGTAAGAATTTTTTAACTTTACTGGTTTTGAGATATCAGGGATGGATTTTTTCACCCGCTCTACCCTACTTATATCCTATCTCAAAATTAATATTAAAACGTTATATTAAGTAATTCACTGTAATGCTTATTAGTAAAATCTCTTCTTGCATTTCTTGTGTATAAAAAAACAAATATAAACTAGTGGGGTGGGTGGCATCGTGCCTTAAGGCAAATTGCTGGAACTTCCCGTACCGTAACGAAATGTTCGAGAAATATTGAATGTTTTCAAATAGATTATTATAAATAATGCAACATTGTCTAATATTTATAAGAATTATATAAACTGAATTGCAGAGTTGAAATTATTTGTTTAAAGTATATTAGAACTATAGTCAGAATTAAAAATAAAATCTGAATTATTTTCGATATACAAAAAAATTAAAAAATTTAAAAAAAAAAAAAAAATGGTACAAATTTTTTTTTTCCAAAATCAATTATTTTGTTAAGACAAGCAGAAAGTTCTTTGAATCAATTGAATCGGACGCTTAATTCTCTCAAAAACTGCCATTTTTTGTACATTTAGCTCTGTATCTCCGAAATGGCTGGGCCTGCCTTTGCGAAAAACTAATAACCCCTTTTCCCAATCATTACTAATTGAATGTTTTTTAGATCATTCAAATCGGATGCTCTGTTCTCTCAAAAACTCGATTTCTATTTTCTGCACTCTTTGCTCCTTATCTCCGTAACTGCTGGACCTGCCTTTGCCAAAAACTAATCAGCTCTTCTCCTTATCAATAGGAATCGAATGTTTTTTAAATTATTCAAATCGGTTAATCCGTACGCCCGAAAACGTGGGCGAAAATTTGTATCCATACATACATACACACACACACACACACACACACACACACACATCCATTTTTTCTGAGGTATGCCAAAACGTTCAGAAACCTTCAAAACGTCGAGAAATGTAAAAATTTTCAATTCCGATTTTCGGCCCATTACAATAACTTACCCTACGGGAAGTTAAAAAATATGTAAACGATCCATGTGTATTCGTAGGTATATTATAATTGGCATACGGTTCGCTCGATATAAACCCGGACATAACTCCTTATATAATCTCGCGAATTCATAGAATATGAGTTTGGGGTCGAAACGCAACATTAAGTACGAGGAACGCTACAGATTCGCGAAATTTTCACCGTTTATAAATGTGCCCGTAGATTTATTACCTGTGCGAACGACGACATATACTGGAAATTATCGTGCGTTTATAAATAGCAACGTACGGGCGATCGGAGACTAATGGAACGGTTTTCGTCTTGAACTTGAAAATGTAATACAGGCATTTATATATTATACATGATCATTTTTGATACGATTCCAACTATTATTACTATGAAAATTATATTTTTACAACATTTTGTTAGGTCACTAACGATAAGGCAAAATTATTTAGTAAGAGGGTGAGATCTTTATTGGAACCTTATATTACAAAGATATAAAAATAGCTTTCTGGAAATTTTGCGTACGCGTTGTTAATAAATATATTTTTTCTTTTCATTTTTTTTATGAAACAATAATTCTGTTTGAGGACAAATTGGCATATTGTTTTGCTTTTTAGTGGTATTTATTTATCATTTTGCGCTTGAATGAAGTTATAAAGAGTGTCAATAATTTTTACTAATTGTAAGAGACCATAGATCCCAGTTTGGCCGGGACAGTCCCGGATTTCCACCTTGTGTCCCGGGTTTCTCTAAACGCAATATTTGTCCCAGATTTAGATCTTTTTATCTCGGATTCTTGCGGTTTTTCGAAAAGTATAGGTTCAAACTGTATCTTTGCAATTACTTAATAATAAAATTACAACTACCCATAAAATATCTGAAAACGATATATTGTTACGAGACAACTAGTAAGCTTACATGAATAAATACGTTCCGAACGAGAAAAGTAAAGCCAAACACACAATTCCAAAAGTGGATAAAAAATAAATTCAAACTTTTATTTTATATTTAGTAAATATCTGTAATTCTGATTAACAAAAATTTGATTTCAAAAAGAACTGTGTTTACTTGGAGTTATTTTAAAATCATATTTAAGTCATTTACCATAAAGCCTAAAAATTAAAAAAAAAATTATTTAAACATACGATTGCAGAAAAACATTTTATTTTTTTATAAGAATGATAGTATTTTCAGAAACAATTACCAAAAAATATTAAAGTAGCTAGCATGTCAGACAATAATAAATTTAAAAACTAACCTTCAATTTTCCCAATCATTACAAATTGAATGTTTTTTGGATCATCCGTTCGTTCAAAAGCTCGATTTCTATTTTCTGCACTTTTTACTCCTTATCACCATAACGGCTGGACCTGTCTTTGCCAAAACTAATCGACACATCTCTCTATCAATAGCAATCCAATGTTTTTTTGAACCGTTCAAACGGTTGATCCGTGCGCCCGAAAACGTGGACGAAAAATTGCGGACGCACAAAACACACACATACATTTTTTTGAGGTATGCCAAAATGTTCAGAAACTTCTGAAACGTGAAGATATGCAAAAATTTTCATTTTTGATTTTCGACCCATTACTATAACTTACCCTACGGGAAATTAAAAATAAAAAAATATTTTTAAACATATTTATTAATAATATATTATGAACACATTATGAATGAATATATAAAAGTTGTTAAAAGATACTGCAACGTAATTTATTATTTTTACATATAATTACCATGAATTATTTTTTATAGAGTATCAGTATGATAAATATTATATAATTGGATTAATATTATATGATATGATATAACTATTAATAAAAAATATAAAATTCGCGATACGAATTGTGATAGAAATGTATTTTATGAGTGTTTAGATTGTTTAAAAAATATTTATTACTACTTACAAATAGCGTTAAACAATGTTAAATATTATAATATAGGTGACACGATGATTACACTCAGCATCATATTCATTAACAAATTATTTTAAATTAGTCTGCGAACCCTGGCCTCCCCTATATTTGCATATCTCAATTTAATGAACAAATGGTATAAATTCTAAGAATAATTTATCATGAAGACGATCCGCGCTGCGAAAGTACTTTTTAGACTATAAATTACTCGTCGACAATAACTTGTGGGACGTGCGTGATTACGTAAAAGTACGGCGGTTCATTAAATACGATATATTATACATTGAAAGCCATAAATAAATGATTATATTATTTTCGGAATGATGTTTAGCATATTATATTTTGAGCCTATTCAAATAGCTAGGTATTACATGAGCTTTGAAATGTATGATGATATTCATATTTCTCTTTATTCCAAAATTACTCGTAGCGGTCGGTGGCAATAACCTTGATAAAGGTTTGCGATGTTAATTACTTAATACTGTTATAGATTAAGTAGAAATAAATTTTGTATGGCATAAGAGTACATGCTCTGTCAAAGAATTGTGGGTTATTTTAATTTAAATGTCAACTATCATAAAGTTACTATAATTTTTTTATTTTTATTTTTCTATCAATTATAGTTTCCTTCCTATAGCAGCTCTGCAACTCATTTTGACTCTGATTGTTATAATTAAATTTAATAAAAAAACTGTCATTAGATACGATGGGTTTGAAATAATTTCTTATATTGTATTTAAAAAAATGGTTGCGTAACACTTTGAATAACTAAATACTACAACAAATACGGAAGTTTATAATAAACTAGTTGTAAGCATTTCGCCTCAAGACAAGTTGCATTAAGTTCCCGATATATGTATTCATTATCAACTTAATCAAATTGAGATCAGCTATTTAGGATTTGGTCAACTGTTTATTTTGAAAATATAAGGGTAGCTTTCACTAATAAATTATCAATGCGATTAACAATACAATACGATGTCTTTCAAACATAGGATAGGGTGAGGCACAAAGGTCCAATTTGACTTCAAGTAATTATACTGTATTTTGTACTAGTATTTTTTTTAAATCTTTTTCATAGTTTTTGATAGCTTTATTTATCATTTGTAATAAATATCACATAACATTGTCGTATTTCTGCTGGTTTTTCTCGTTAAGTTTTTTAACTTTTGCTGAAATCTGCTCAAAAGTAATATGAATTTGTGAAATAATATGTATTAAGATAATTTTATATAAAAATTAAAACTGGAGCTTAAAAAAGGTAAAAAGTATAAACAGGTCCACCACCGTTATCTCAAAAACCTGTTTAACAACATTATTTATTTAACAATATTTGTTTAACAACAAGAATTGTTTAACAACAATATTTGAAAGTAGAGGGGAAAAAATGTATTACCTCTTTACTCAAGACGTAGTTATCAAGATATAAACGGCAATGTTTGAAAATTCATAAAGTTTTTTTTCGTTTAATTTACAAGACTTTAATATAAGTTCTAAATATACGTTATTTTATTGTTTATTGCTTTATAAGATGTATTGTAATTTCAAATTAGATTGAACAGTCTTTTATATAACCTCTAAAAAAGCTTACACCTGGGTAAAAAAAGGTGTCAAAAATGAAAAATAGCATATACAAAAGAAATAAGTTAAAACTAGTGTATGGCATCGTACCTTAAGACAAACGAAGAATAAAATTTAATTCTAAACAATTTTTTCTTCAAAATTAAGGAAAAGATAAGACAAAAAAATTTCGAAAGCAATAGTTTTGTCAACACAAACAGAAAGTTTTCTGAATCATTCAAATCGGATGCTTAGTTCTCTCAAAAACTGCAATTTTTTGCATATTTATCTCCGTATGTTCAAAATGGCTAGACCTGCCTTTACCAAATTACCACTTCTACCCACCATTATGAATTGAATGTTTTTTGGATCATTCAAATCGGATGCTTCGTTCTCTCTGAAACTCGATTTCTATTTTTTGCACTTTTTGCTGTGTATCTACGAAACGGTTGGTTCTGTCTTTGTGAAAAACTAATCAGCGCATCTCCCCATCAAAGGAAACGCATATTTTTTGAACCATTCAAATCGGTTAAACTGTGGGCTCGAGAACGTAGACGGAAAATTGTATCCTTACATACATACACACATACATCCATTTTGTCTAAGGTATGCCAAAACATTCAAAAATATTCAAAACTTCAAAGATATACAAAAATTTTCAATTTACTTACTCTACGGGAAGTTAAGAAAGTTATTTTACATAAGATAAATTGAATAAATAGTTATTACAACTCTTTTGATGATTATTTCTGAAATAACAGATCAAGGTTATTTACAGTGTTATCTTTGTGAAAAATGACATTTATATTTTGCATGGGTTGAATAATGTAGCTATTATTTTCTAAAATCTCCTTTAAAATTAAAATAAGTCATCAAATCTCTTTGCTCCCTGGTCATCCCAATTTATCCCGCCTATGGGGTAAAAAGGACCAGGTTACAAATTTGCGAAAAACAGCATAAAACACATTTTTACAATGATAAATTAGCTGAGAGTTTTACTGAATAAGGTCAAATAGTTGTTTGTTTGATATGTGTTATTATTTGAAAAATTGAAATGTAGGAATTTTAAAATCTGAATAAAAAACATATCTACTGATTGAGAAGTATGAATCAAAATAATTAAAAATTACATTGAAAATCCGTTTTCAATTTAGTAATTAGACCATTATACTATGTATGTATAATATTCATAGATAAGTCATCTAATAGTTCACCTCACTTTCCTTTCTTACTCATGTGAGGTTATCGTACGTCTGGAAAATAGTTGTGCACTTCAGGTAGAATATACATCTGCTTATCTTTTCTTGGTCGAATTCTATTTAAGCACGGCTATCCATTCCAGCTTACGACCGCTATAAAAGAAATCGCCCTGCAGGGACACCATTCGCCCAGCAGACTCTTCTGCACGAAAATACAAAGATCATGTCTTATTAATGGCAATCGCCCGTGGAGATTTTAACTACGTGGCTTTATTTTTTTAGTCAGACAACCTTTGAAAAGGTTGGTCTAAATTGGCCTGGAAGAAAATACTAGAAACGTTTCTGTTTGATCATTTTCATTCGTGTGATGCGTGGAATGGAATAATTGTAAATGTGTTATTTTACTCTTTAACGTGTTATTTTTTTATAACCTTTTAATTTCAGGTTTTAAGTTTTTTGCTCATTACACTATATATGTAAGGTAAATAACCTTAATCTAGTATTCATTAAATTTATATTTTGCATTGGTTGAATTATGTAGCTATTATTTTCTAAAAATATTTAAGTCTAAACCGGGACGGCAATTTTTAGTTATCCTAAACTAAGACGGGTGGGGGAGAGTTTTGGCTTTAATAACAATAACAAATGCTATTTAAGGATACATTAAAAATCAGTTTTTTGAGCCTTGTATGAAATTCTATTCAATTTTCTTAAGAATTAATTTGAAAAAAGCCCTTGTTTGTTTATTTTTTTATAATTTTTGTTAATTCAACTATTAATTTTTTTAAAAACCGGGGCAACCAGGGAAAAACCCGGAACACAAAATGGAAATACGGGACTGTCCCAACCGGACGTATTTTAAGGCGTTTAGGATTAAAATTAATTAAATACAGTACTTTGTCCATTCACATAGTATGCAAACTTAATAAACATATCTATTATTTGATGAAAAAATATAATATATTTATTATTAAAGATGAAATATGAAACTGTACATGAACCTGAAACAACGATAGATTAAAGCTATGAAGAAGATTAGTATAAGTCGAGCTTTCGAAATTGAAAAAAATATATTCCCAAATACACGTTGGTGTTATTTATCATATATTTTCATATTATTCTAAATTACCGTTTTTTATGTGAAATATGCGATGGAAAAATTGTCAAGTATATATCGACAATATATTGACTTCATAAGTGCTTTAATACTACTCGTATTAATATACTCGAATTATTATACTTGTCCTTACAGGGTAAAGGAGGGCTTAAAGGTCCGCGGACCACCGATTTCTCAAAAAGAAGTAAAGTTAAGAATTTTTTAACAATAAAACTTTAGGGAAAAAGATGTATAACTAGACATTACCTTGAATTTTCCTGCAATAAAAGTATTTTCTTTCGTCGTGATTTGGTTGTGAGCATTTTAGTTTACGAGACATTATTATAATTTTTAATTATACGTTATTTAATTGTTTTATAAGATGTATTGTTATCTTTAAGTTAGATTCAACAGTTTTTTCATTTAACCTTTAGAAGAACTTGCATGAGGGTGGGGTAAAAAGGACTAACTGTACCTTTACCCTGACAAAACTGAACAATAAAAAATAGTAAATTAAGTTAAGTTAAAACAATTTTACAAGAGATAGGTTAAATAAATAGTTATTCCAATTATACTGGTGATTATGTCTGACGAAATACCAGATCAAGGTTATATCTTTGTAAAAAATGTAGTATGTAAATTATAAATTTTATTTATTTTTTGTATTGGTTGATCAATGTAGCTATTTGTTCGTAAAATCTCTTTGAAATTAAATAAGATATTAGATCTGGTTATTGGGTAAAAAGGCCAGGTGACAATTTTTTTAAAACACCAAAAGCACTTTTTTACAATGATGAATTAGCTGAGTTTTACTGAACATTGTCAGATAATTGTTTATTTGATACGCGTTTTTCCTTTTGATATAATTGTTTTGCTCAAAGTCAAATCGGATCTTTGTGCCGCGTCGTACTCTACTTGAATATTGATAAAGTAATCAAAACCTTTATGTACAAAGCCTTATGCAAAATTTATTAAAACAATCTGATATATAATATGAAGCTTATATATTTTCTTATTAAAAATAGGTGTTTTTGTGTATTTGAACGATTCAGACGTAGATATATCAATGCTACATTTAATAAATGTTTGTATCTACTATTTTCAAATAATCATACGAACTTGACACATCATGTTTTCTTTCTACCCTGTTCAATATATATTTGTGATCTATCTCATATGTTTTTTGCTGTTTTGTGTCTTGTAAAATCTCACGTATTCTTTCTCTCCGCGTAGGTTTGGCTAGTGGAGTGTTCAAAGAGAATATTTGGTCTAGTTTCCTTGAGGAGGGTCAGTACATCGCGTACACCGCTACTCCAGAAGATATCGAACAGATGGATCGCCCCACTTACAACCAGGTGTTTGCTGATATCACTACATCATTCACGATTCTTATCGGAATATTCTTCCCTTCGGTAACAGGTCAGTATCTATATATTCTAACAATAAGGTTCAAATTAATCTGATTGTGAATAAGTTGTTTTACGTTACTAGGATTTTTGTTGAAAGCAGCTACAAACTTAAAATATCTAACGCCAAGATTTATTTTAGTACCTACTGTTTTTTTAATTTTTTTGTGGTTAACATAATCGATAATCAAGATTTTGGGCAATCCAAAATGATCATCGTATATTTTGATGTAACGAAAATCTCTGAATCGCACCTTGAGTATATTTAAGTACTCTTAACATTCAGTTAAGACTATATAGTATCAACTGTGTATTTTTTTTTATAAATTCATGTTACATGTTATTTAAATAAAAAATAAAACCCTTAGGGAGTATTCTAGTGTAGAAATTCTAAATTTTTTTATATATTTGCAAAGGTGGACTATTCAAAAATATGTGTACGAGAGGTTTTTTTCAAAAAATTTAAGGTATTTTTGAAGATACAGCTTCTGTTTTCTTCCTTTTGCGAAACGCGTTTTTCTTAAAACTGTCTTTCAATATGATGTACTCGATTTCTCCAGTTCTACTACGCCGATTCACTTGAAATTCTCACCCTTCTCTCTGGCTTATACTAGTCTCATACCCAAATTTCAATTTTTTCTACTTCTAAAAAATTTCAAAAACTCAAAGTGGTATGAAAATCGCCATTTTGCCAATTGTAAAAAAAAACTCAATAGTTAAATATTTAATAGTGCTGCTATTGCGGCATCATTCTAAATTAATAATATTTTTCTTTTTAATTTCGGATTATTAAGAGGGCTCCACTTCAACAACTGCAAATTTTTTAAAAAAATCAATCAATAATAAATAAAATCAAAAAATTAACGTCGATAAATAAATTTAAAAAAAATAATAGTAAAAAAATATTGTCTTTTAACAACGATTTAAAAATTATTCATGCTACAATTAGAATACTCCCTTAGTGAATTCGCATATGTTTTGAAGTTTAGCATTTCGATAAGCAGAAAAAATGACTGTATATTTTTGCCTATTTTTAATGTTTGGATAAATTTACCTATTTATTTATGCTTACGTTAATGACACAGTATCACAATAAAGTGCAGAAAATGAATTGAAGTGAACTAAAAAATCTAGATAATGTAGTAATTTAATTCAAATATTCAAAAGAACTTAACAGTCGGCGAGACAGTTCCACTCTGCGATACTTGCCGTTAAATGCCTATTTAAATGTTTGAATGCATCTCGTAGGTTTTGGTATTTTGCAGCTTCCTTAGTTGATTATAGACTTTCATGGTTGATGACTGCAAGCATGCATAAACTTAGTAATGAATCTTAACAGAAGTTCGATCTATTTTCATTTGGTAGTACTATAGAACTTAAACGTTCAAACGCTCAGTTGAGCAAACAATTCAACTTGCTGATCCAAACTGTCTAGTAGAATATCACGTTCGGGCGTGTGAAACTTGCCTAAGCCTTTATTACGCACAACTGTCAAAATTGGTAAAATAAAGTAAGTACAGGTGGCAAGCATGTAATGAATGAAAGATTGACAAGTTAGATATCTGGGAAAAATGACGCATTTCTTAACATTTTATGCACTAAATTAGTATGGCCTGTATAGTAGTATGGCAAGTATATGTCTAGTGACATCTACTCGAAGTATACTATATCGCAAAAATGCTTTGTGAGGAAGTTCGACTCACACTATACCATATTTTTTATATTAAGTCTCTCTTCCATGGTATTTTCGTCAAATATATGTTAAATCTACAAAGGCTACATAACCATGCTGGTTTCGTATTTATGAAAGAGGAAAAATGAATGTGAAAAACTACATACACTGAACATATTTCTATAGGATTATATACATCATTTTTGCAATGTTATCTAGTCATAAATAGTTACCTCAACTTCTCAAATATTTACTAAAGTACAATATGTATAGCTTCTATTGCCTAAACTTCAAAACGTTAAATTGAATTATTGCTCAGGATTACGATGTATGTTATAGTTATTCTTAAAGAAAGGATAGATAAATATAGTGATATATTTTTTGCTGGTAAATCGATGTTATCGTCAGGAATATCTTATTCATATTTTTTGCGAACGTTTTAGTAATGCTTATGCTACTGTATAGGGAGCACTTCATTGTGATATTATAATCATAGTTCTTTATTTTAAGGTGACCATACATCCCAAACTGGCTTGAAACTTTCGATTGCCTAACACTAATGCTTTAAACATTTTAATACTCAAAATAGACAAACTAAAAGCAATACTTTTTACTAGAGTTTAAGAAAACTGTACAGATTTATATTTTGGCTGAAAAGCGAACAAGTCCTTGTAGAAATACTCATACTCATCGTCAGTATTTCTGATTTTGAAAATATGATTTATTAAGAAATTTTTTTATTGTATTCTTAAATAGTTTTTTTGATCATATTTGAAACATTTATCGTAAATACAAGTCTATACATTTTTGACAAAAATTTTCTTTTTTTTTAAAAAAGACTTTTTGAAGAAAAATTTATTTTGAAATATTTTGGAAATTCTGAACTTTTTTCAAAGCAATCGTACTGCTTTTACTGCATAGAGATAAAATGTAGAAGCGCCGTCTAACTAATGATCATTTTTGACCGCCAAATGGCTTTTTTTTTTTACTAGATCTCCGAAATCGTTAGACCTGCCTTCATGAAAATTTAATCAGATCTTCATCTTGTTAATATAAGTAAAATGTTTTTTGAATTTTTAAAATCGGACGTATCTTCGGAACGGATAGACCTGCCTTCGCCAAAAACTAATCAGCACGTCTCTTTATCAGTACGAATAGAATGTTTTTTGAATTATTTAAATTGGTTGATTGGTGTTCCCGAAATTGTCGACGAAAATTTGTATCCGCACACACACAAATACACACACACATACATTCATTTTTTCTAAGGTATGCCAAAATATTCAGAAACCTTTGAAACGTGAAGATATATAAGAATTTTCATTTTCGATTTTTTGCGATTACTATAACTTGCCATACGGGAAGTTAATAATTATTCAAACTTGTAACTAAGTTGACCAAATTAAAAAAAGTTTAAATGTGCTAATCGATAGGCATGTACTGTAACTTTTCAACAAATTGTTGATATTTTTAACTTTGCGTAGAGTAAGCTATAGTAATTGCAAAAAATCGAAGATAAAAATTTTCATATCATTACGTTTCAAAGGTTTCTAAACATTTTCTCAAAGTGTGTATGTTTGGACTATTTTTTGTTTATGATTTTGAGACTACGGATCGTCCGATGTGAATAATCCAAAAAACATTCGATTCCTATTGATGAGGGATTTATGCAGATTAGTTTTGGCAAATTCAGGTCCAGCTGTTTCGAAGATAAGGGGTAAAAAGTAACAAGAATGGTAATTTTGAGGGAGCGGAGTTATATTACACTTATATTGATATAATGAAGAATTAGTTCAATAGGTTGAATTTTGGAGATCGAATAAAAAAGTTAAAAAAAAACACATTCGGCGGTTAAAAATGATCATCAGACATTCACATCAAATTTTCCGATATTTTAATAATCAGTACAAATTTTGTTTACATTTCTATGGGTTCTGAACCAAGAATTTTAATGTTTAACTGCTAGACTGCGATGCAGCATTACGCGCTTTGATATTTCGTCTATGAAACAGCTACGCAGCTCTTTTAAAAAAAATTAAAATCTTTCAAAAAAAAAGCATTTAAAAATTTTAAATCACGGTTCGAAAAGTTCCGGCAGTTTGCCTTAAGGCACGATGTCATGACCACTATTTTACTACTAATTTTTAACCTGATGTATTCTCTGCGGCTTTGCGGAAAAATTTACTTTCAGAGAGTATTTTTCCACTCACTACTGAGCTTTCTAGTGAATGGTATTTTATTATTTTATTATGAAACTGATCTCTTAGGTTCTTATTTTTAACTTATAAGTTCGTTGTGTTTACTCTATGTTTTCCTCTCATCATCCCTGATACCATAAGCATAAAATAAATAACTGCTCGAGCAAATATTTGTTTCGCAACAACATTTATATAATATCGCAGACAGTTTAACAATCTCTCACTCTTCTAATTTTCTAGAGTGCTTCCTTCGCACTTTCATGTGTGTCAACACTCGTAACATTAAATATAAATCTCGTTTCTTTCCTCTTTTTATTTGCGCTCATCTTTTTGATCTCTGAATGTGTGTTCATCTGTATAACGTCGACGACTTCTATGCATGCGGCGTTTTTCGCTTGCAGCACATGCTGATCTGCAATAATTTAGTGCCTTTGAAAAAGTTCACTCTCCTATCACTGGAGTGCAGCGTCGCTTGCGGGCGCACAGGAAGGCGACCCACTAGACCCACTAGAACTGTTCAAATATTCGGCAAAGTCCACAGCATTATTTACACTGTTTTAATTACTTTATCTACGACCGACTTTAGGATTTCGCAATGTTAGTCTTGTTGATTCATCTATGTGACGAACGATTTTCGTAACGAATCTCAAAATGCACGAATAGTTTATCTTACATTTTATAGTCAGATTTTTGACATATTCTTTATGAAATCATACCCGAGCAGAATAAATAAGTGCATAGATAGAAACATGATCTTGGAGACAGAGCGCCATTATATATTTTTCTCCATTATATTCATCATGACCCGTGCTTATTTTTAATTTTTCTTTACTTTTTGTTCATTACAATCTTTGTATTTATTTTTATAAAGCATCATGCAGCAGACTTTCAGTCCTTAAAATAGGTTCAATGCAGTTTTCATTCCGTTACAGAATCGTGCATAGTGGAATTACTTCTTTTCCGATTCTCTACAAAAATAATTATCATTTGCAACTTCGTCAGTTTATTATAATTTTCTTCCTTCATTTATACTATATGTAATATAGGGCGGGGCACAAAGATCCAATTATCACCTGGTCTGTTTTGCTCCATTGGCCAGTGGTATTGTCGAGCCGGAACGCTCCGGAAAGTCGTTTCGGTACT